TTAGCATTTTTCATTTGATACATCTGCAGTTATTGCCATTAATTTTTATTCATATCATTGTTATACTGTAGTATTCCGTATTTTACAAATTATTTCTGAACTTCTAATCAATATTTTCACTCATTGATAAGCATAAACGATTAATAAATTCAACAAAATATTCTCGAATTTGAAAAACTATTTTAATCCAAATAGCTAATATTACAAACTTCACAAGTTTTCAAGTTTTCAAGTTTCTAATATTACAAATTTCACAAGTTTTCAAGTTTTTCTTCCTGATAATTCATTTACAAATTGATAATGGTTGAAAATTTTGTTGATGAAAAAAATTTTTCTTTTCAGTAATATTAGGTATGTTAAAGTAAACTTACTATAATTCCAAAAAAAAAAAAATGCTACAAACATTTTATTATTTTCCGTTCGTCTTTTTTTTTTCTTGCACTTTAAAACAATGGATTTTACCTGACATATATTTGAAATTTATGAATTAAATGGAAAACAGGAATTAAAACAAGAGAAGAGGATAGGGTAAAAAAATTATTACTTAATAATATAAATTTTAGTTTCCAATTAATACATAAACTTTTTTTTTGTTATATAGATCATATTTAAATTTAAAGTTAATGCGATAATCGCCTACAGTAAGTAATACAATTATTTCTAATGCCAAATTTTAATTACTAATTAATGCTTGTAAAAGATCGGATCACAAACTTTTTATATTTTGTTCTTACACTTTAAAATGACTTTTTTACACATTAATTAATTAATTAATTAAACGGTTTTTCGAAATATTCGTAGATTATGCAGCATAAAAATTTTTAAGCTTTAAAATATTTATTAACAATTCGTTCGAGAATCAATTATTATATTAAATGAATAATTTTTAAATCATTTCAAGTATTCCATCCGTTTTTTTTCCTTCACTTCTCTTTTCTTCCACTTCTCCTTTTCCCTCCCTCTCTCTTCTTTCTCTCTCTCTCTCTCTCTCTCAAACATACATCAAAATATTTTGCCGATTTTTTAATTTTTAATTTTTATTCATTTCTATTTTCTTCTTTATCAACAAAAGTAAAAAAGAATTACATTGCCGAGGATATTGTTATAAAAATATTTATGAGTAATTAGCCATATGATCATTTCTAATTAATTGATAATTGGATTCCTCTCGATCACTTTTTATCTTCCTTTTCCTATTTTCATTCTCTCTCTCACCGAAAACTTCGAAGACTTTTCAACTTTTTATTTTCTAATTTTTTTATCATTTTTATTTTCTTTTTATTAAACGAAAAAATTATCAAAATGAAGTTATTTAAATAAAAATATTATTCTTATTTAAAATACTTCATTTTAATTATTCGCCTTGATAATAGAATGGTAATAAAATGAAAAAGTAGAAATACAAAAAGTTATTAAATATTATTTTAGGCTAACATTGAATAACTTTTATTCTTTGAAATTTTACAATCAAAAGTGATTTGATCAAACTTTTTTTGATATAATATTATTAGTTTAGTTGATATATATTCATCCTTCCTTCTGCATACTATTATTTTTCTTTTAAAATTATTTTATCCCATCATTCAATTGATCAATCTGTTAGCAAACAATTTTGAAATTAAAATTAGAATTTATTAATCGGTCCATTTGATAGTAAAAAAATTTGGAATTCAAAATGAAAATTATATAATATAATATTGCATGATTGATGAATTGAATAATTAAAATTGAAGTTTTTAAATGAGTATAAGAAAAATTGTAG